TGTCTGCACATTTAACTTTCTTCAAACTGCAGAGTTTTTCAGTCCTTTACCTTGTTTCCCAAACCATTGGATATCAGGGCTTGTTTTATGGCTCTGACTCTTCCATCCATCATGTCAGATGGAGCTATGATGTGACAACCTGCAGAACACATGCCACGTGAGTCATTATTGGATGACATCTTAAAAAAAGGATTAGTTTGATTGTCCGTTCTGGGCTACTGTAGAAACATGGAGGTTCAACATGGCAGACTCTATGGAAGGGGACCCGCTCCCTCTGTAGATAAAAACAGCTCATTCTAAGGCAACAAAAACACAGTAATGAAAACATAACTAATAATATTATTTTCCATTTCTGCCAATATATCCTCCTAAACACACTGGACCTTTAAAACTACTTTCAAATGTCAACAGAAATAAACTAATACAATCTACTTCTTAGAATCCACTTATTTACACAAAAAGCTTGCACTGAAAAGCATTTTTTGTCCAGTTCCTGGACGAAGCCGTAGATTTATCAATGGATGACTGAAAGGGATAATAAAGGCTCAATAAATATGTAAATAAATAAAATATGTACGTGCAATTCCAAGTTTAATAGATAATTCAAATCAAAAAGAGAGCCTTGCTGAGGAGAGTGTGGTGCTTATTGTTTTCCACAAAGAGGAACAACCTTTAGAAACATGAAACGAGATTTACCAGCTCGAGCGTAGGCCAGCGCCACTTCTGCCAAGCATATGCAGGTGGTGTCATTTTTCAAAGTACCGTCATCGTTCAGGATACCTGAGGGAAAGACAGAAGAAAAAACATCCAAAATCTTAATATGTGCTGCACATTAATTCTGTCCTTTTAGCACTGCTCTGTACAGAAGGTAAATCATCAGAGGAGACACTGACCACAGTGTCCGTGTGATGTGTGGGGACACAGGCAGAGGTCACACGCCACCAGCAGCTCCGGGAACAAAGACCTGATCTTCTTCACTGCCAGTACAGCCGGCGTGTCATCTTTGTCGGCACTTGAGCCTCTGTCATCCTGACGGGAAAAGACAAAGATCACAGTGTGTCCAGTGCACAGAAACAGGTTTGCTGCCATGATTCTACCTGCTGCTATAACAACCTTCTTCACACGCTTCTTTATGACCACTGGTCCACAAACAGTCAGAGTGGTTAACGGTGAGTTTTTCCTTCTTTTAGTTTAATATACCTTTTCTATTTTTGCAGGGACACCAAAAATCAGCACACACTTCAAGCCGTTCTCCACAAGCGGCCGCAACATGCCCTCCAGCTTGTTCACTCCGTATCTGTGGATTGGGAATACAAACAACATGAATGAAACATGAGAACACCAAAAGGTCTTTCAGGGAAGACTCAAAATCGCGATGAAAATGATCCTCCTCATCAAGTTTTAATGAAGGGGGAAAAAAACTAAAAACTCTCAGGAAAATTATATATTAATACATACTGACACACAATGTCACATTTCAAACAGGACCTTTAAGAACTGTGTGCAGTCCAGAGCCTCTGTCTTGTAATTTAGACACAAAATGGGTTTGCATTTTAGTTTTGTTGTGTGACGAATAAAGATCTAATGGATTCTCTTCTTATCTTGGTCCAGGTCCAGTGTTTGGCTTTTGGTCCAACCTGCCTGACTGCTTTTATCTGAAGACAACACCCTAAGTGTGCTTAGAAAAGCAGGTGTTTTGTTGTTGTTGTTGTGAAGATTTGAACCGGAAACCTTTAGTTACGGGCTGGCTAGAATTCATTGCCATGACTCTTACCTGGCCTGTCCTGGCAGGCTGCTGATGGGCTCCACTGCATCTGCACTGTCGCTGTAGGAGAGAGTGACAAAGATTGAGTCCATTGAAGCGTAACTTCAAACACATTCTACTATTCTCCACTTCTCTTGGTGCAAACACATTCAAAAGTCATTTGATAATTGTTGAGCCCTGATCTCTGCGACATCAGTCAAACTCTGGTACACCTAATTTATTTGCCCTTTCATGTAATTTGGACACATTTTGTGGTACACAGAGAAGTTTCATTTACCTGATAAAGATGGGGTAGATGAGATTGTCAGGTCGTAAATCTGCGGCGCAGGTCTGCCAGTATCGCAGTGTTGGGTGGAAATAGCCGCTGTGGAGGATCGATTGCGCTGGTGTCTGCATCTTTACCCTAAGACAAAGATGCCATTAGTGACAAAACACAGAGAACAACACAGGGAACAGGTCAGGTTCTGTTTTGAACTCTTGTGCCCCATCTCAGCTCAATTTTATTTGTATAGCGCCAAATTGTAACAAAAGTTATCTCAGGACAGTTCTCAAATAGAGCAGTCTAGACTGTTATCCTAATAAAAATATTTACATAGACCCACCATAAGGAAGCACAAGGAAAAACATATTTTTAAGAGGCAGAAACCTTGGGCACACCTCGGCTCTAGGTGGGTTGCGGTCTGCCTCAACCAGTTAACCGTTAAAACTGACCAGGTTTGTGTGATGCTGCTCCTCCAAACAGCAGCTTGGCTCTGCCTAATTGCAGAGTGAAAAGGCTGCAGGTTTTAAAACTAAACTATATTATTATATTTTAATGGACAATGCTTCCCCATTTTCTCTTAATGCACATGCTTTTTTTGAGCACCTATGACATTACAATCCTCCACACTTTTCACAGAAGAAGGTGATTTTCTTGAATTCAGTGTTTCTGCTGGTACCGTTTTGGATTCAAAATCTTTGCTGCCATAGCAAAAAAAGTTTGTTTCTCTACTCTAATGTCTGTTAGCCTACTTGGATTCAGTGGGACACTTGAAAAATGTCCTCTAAAATGCCTCAATGGTTTTGTTTGTGATAGAGTCAGCATCACAAGGAATCTAATAATGGCCTAATGCATAGAATAATAAACATAGAAAAAGAAAGAGGCAATTCTTTTAGCAAACCATTACACAAGCAATACAATTAAAGAGATGACAATTGTTCTTACCTTAGATTAATACTGAGAGCAATCAGCCTTTGTCCCTTTTCTGGTCTGGATTTTTTTAAACCAGCTGTGAAATTTGTCACACACCGTCACTTACAGCGTTAAACGCAGGGCTGCTGTAATTCCACTCAACCTCTCTTTTATATTGACTGGTGCCTCCTGCTGGGGTGGGCTGCATCCACCGCATCTGCTCAGCTCTTCCAAATTTCATTTTTGAGGAAATGTATCACAAAGGTGACCCAGCTCCACATGATTCCTCACAGTCAGTTAAGGTTAAACTGGTCTGCCCGTACACACACACAACGCCGGTTGCCGGTTAAACTAGTCTAAGTATAACATCAATTCAAGTCTCGTTGTTCAGAACATGAAAAAAATAACTTCCACTCTATCTACCTCTTTTTAATTTTTTTTAAATTTCACTTTATCTACCTCAACCTCAAAAATGTCATTAATTGTTATTTAAAATAACAGTGGGGCTGTACACACTTCCCTGTTGGGTTCCTTTTCAGTTATTAGTTATTGGAATATTTAACTTCTCTTGTCCTTCCGAACAGGAAATCTGATAAGTTTGATGAGGAGTCCCTCTTTCCACAGCATGTCAAATGCTTTTTAACATAAAAACACAGCACCGTTCCTTTATGGGTTTGAGCTGATTCCTGACATTAAGAGAGTAATAAAGAGTCCATCACACCTCTCTCTTTACAAAAACACAGCCAAAATAGTTCTCCAGAAAGTGGGTTTATCTCTCTGTTAGCATCCATTGCATGGTCTTCCCTAACTGTTAATGCGATGGGTCAATAGCTTGGAGTATTTGATGAATCTTTACCTGGTTTTATTAGGCTATTGGTACTATAACTGACTGCTTCCATATTGACAGGATTATGCCTGCTGTATCCCATATCACGTTAAACAATCTTAATATTGCTTCAAGTGTCCCGTCTTTCATATGAGCAAACTTACCGTAACAGATACTCCCAATCTTTCCAAGGTGAGGTCTGCCATACATTTGACATGACACTCAAATAGATTGAATGGTAAATCTAGGCAACTCCTGGGTTTTATGCAAGGGTATTGCTTAGCTTTTAAAGATAGAATTTTCTGAACTGTGGATCTTTACAAATGTCTTAGCTAGAAGTTCTTCCTCTTACAAAACGCACCTCCATTACTAATTGTACTGCTGTGCAGCTAATATAATATTTCTAGTTAGTTATTCGTTATGCCATTCATTTTGAGTCACTCTTTTTATTCTGCATTTCTTCTTCTGGCAGGTTTAGGGTGCATACCGCCACCCACTGTACAAGAGTAGTGTAACATCACTTCATTTTCTCATATTTCTTAAATTCTACACACAGACCTTGATTCACTTAAGAATGTAAAGAGTGCCTTCCTGGTGACTCTTACCCCAAGTTGTGTCATGCGGTCAACTTCTCTCCTATTGGTTGACATCAGCGATGACCAAAGACAGGCTCACAGCACTGATTCCTTTGCACAGTTTGCACAGCAACAGTTTCTAATGTGTGTACAATAACAATTCAATTCAGTTAAGTAGAATAGATCCATATGCTAATAAAGCTTTCAGTGCGATTAAGGTGGTCTATGATAACTGGGTGATGAAGGATACTTGCGCTTCCTCTGCAGTGTCAAGTTTGAGACAGGTGTTTAAAGTCTGTTCCTAAATACGCACACTGGAACCGCCACGGTGTAGCTCCCTGGAAATTACCCATGCGCCTACCTACTGCATTTCTAATACAAACAATTTGTGTGTCATTGTATAAAAATAGTGTCTTCACAAAGCAATGTCTAAAGTCATAAATGCGTTTGTTTGGTCACCTGTGTTTCTTTCCTCTGGTTTTATAATAGAAAGTATCTTTAAGAACACTAATCGCTTTCATAGCCGTCGCTGAAATTGGGCATAAGAAGGAAATATTTGCACATCGGGTGTTGTGGTAACGTTATAAAACGACATCCATCTCAGAATGAGGTAACCCATGTTATAATGACCACAGTAAGATAAATATCCCAAATGCACAATAATTGATGGATGATGTAATTTAATGTTGCAGCAAAGTTGACATTGCAAAGTCATGCTCACAATTTCACCAATTTTATCAATTATTAATCAAAGCATTATAACCATGTGTGAATGAGAGAACATCACTGAGAAACTTGAGGATACCATTAAAGCTGTTTTTGTTTTGTTTGGCATCCATGACACTGTGTGGATTACTTGAAGAAGATGTCAGATTATACACTGGAAGGAAAACTGAGCGAAAAGAAATACATTTTTAAATCCTCTTGACAGAAGAATGGCAGAGGGAGTATCACTTTTAGTTATGATCAGACAAATTAGATTGGTAGCGCGCGCATGACCAAAATGCGACCATTTAATTTACTTTAAGAACACAAATATTGACCTGCTACAATTTAATTTAATGTACTTAGTTACAATATATCATTAATAGCACTACTTACATTCTCAAAGCTGGATTAAAGATCAACACAGTTCACTCTGTTGCTCATTAATTCAGCTTTGACGAGTTTTGACGGCCAAACTACGCCACCTGCTGGAGTCTTTATATGTCTGTATGACCCTCTAGGAAAACAAATCCTGGCCCAACTAGAAGATATAAGTATTACTGATGTAACAAAGAGCTGTTTGAGGTCAGTTTGACTCCCTGAAGAACACTTGTTGCTGAAGGTGCAGAGTGTGCAAAGAGAGAGCATCACCCAAGCTGCACACCGAGGTAAAGAAAACAAGAGCAGAATCTAATGGGACATTCCATTTCCATTTCACTTTATGGTCTCAGTTTAATATAATCAGCTATAGACGTGCAGATCAGCAAAGATTTTAAGATTGACTTACGTATTTTATGAATAAGAGGAGTATCAAGATCCACTGAACTCCCACAAAATGATTCAGGTTGTTTAAACTGCTGTTCTGTGATGTTGCATAACAGACAGGTGATGCTAAAAAGGTTTTTAATACAGAACTGTGATTTCTACGCACAGGTAAAGAAGTCCGTGGGACTCATTACTCAACATGCATCAACTCCACACACACACACACACACACACACACACACACAATTATTTTATTTCCTCCCAGTAAGAGCGTGTTGTCTTTAAAACTGATCACTGCTGCAAATCAACCTGACACACAGATAAACATGTGTCATACTATTTGAATTATTATCTCAAAACTGAACAGAAAAGGCAAAATGAAAGCCTAAAAGTAAACAGGTTGCTTACTTTCATACATTTTATTTCCCTTAGTGCTCTTTGTTAGTGTGACTGAGTCAACAGCAGCTTTATACTTTTAAAAAGGAGTCTGCCTGTTGATCTGTCTCTAGGTCCGTCGCTATGTCCGCCCGTCCTTTGGCCTCAGATCTCGGTTCTTTACTCCTTCAGCCAGCTGAGCAGCTGTGGCGTGTAATAGGTGATGATGATGTCAGCACCTGCATCACAGAGCGAGGGAAAACTATGAGCATAAAGTCAGATTACATCTATTGCTGAACTGATACTGATTTATCGTGGCAAGAATGAGTGTTTAATTGCAGGGATACACCAGGTCACACTATGATCCATCCATCTGTCTAGTTCTGACTGGAACAAAGTGCAAGAAGTACAGTACGTATACACCTAAAAGCCCCAGTATGCTTCAATGGCAGCACTTCTTGAATCGTGTAACACCATCTGAAACCCAGTTTCCCACAGTGGAATCAGGGGGGATGTGTACGATCATTTTTGTACGTTTCTGAATCTGACAGTCACACCCAGTTCAGTCAGGCATTGGCCAGGTGTATGGAGGTATGATAGCAGGCATGTTCTAACCTTGCTTTTTTTGTTCTGCACATACCTTAAGTACTTCTTTGACTCTTCGTGTGTAAAACGCTGTGCAAAACCATGAATCAAGAACACACTGTCTGTCATCATTGTGTCAGAGACAGCAGGCTTTTCACACCACTTTCAAGTGTGACCAGTCAGAAAAAACGAATCATTTTTTTTTATTAAGCTCTAGTCAGACGTATGCAAGTTGTATAATCTAGTTTATTTCAACATACCGAGACCTTAAGCTGACTCAGGCTATGTTAACACTGCAGGCAAAAATGGCCTGAATGGAAAGAAAGCTGTGACTCATATGAGTCACAGCATTCTTTCCTGACAGTGTCAACCGCACAAATTATATGGAATCTGATCTTGTCAATTCTAATTTTACCACTAACATATGTGTTTTTTTTGTGTTTTCAGTGTAATCATAGTTTCATCAGAATTCTGCATCACTCTAGATCACCATTCGTCACAATTCTGTGCTAGCATTGGTCACTCAGCTGCGTTGGAAGTAGTCAGTGGAGGGGTGACAAGGACAAGCAACATTTTAGGGGTTGAATCGTAACCGGTCTGTGTTTGCTTTAACTCCACATACACTTTCACGCAGAAGTAGCAGCCATTGCTCCACAAAAAGTCATAATTAAGATTTGGCTCACTTCTCCACGTCATCGTTATCTGCTCACAAATTCACAGGTTCCACTGCAGATCAACTTCTAAATGAAACCGTTAACACTGACTTCACTGGCCCACAGTATGTGCAGCATGTGACATTGTGTGACATGTTACTGATCTTTTGTCCATGAGGGTCAGTTTAGGAGCATGGCATATTCTCACTGGTGTCTGATATTGGCCACAAGAAATCAGAACTGAGCTGCAAGGCTGGCAGCGTGAGCGCAGCCTAAAAGTACGATACTACATGTCTTTTTATTTGTTCTTATTTACATGTTTCTGTTGTCAGACAATTGAAAGATTTATTTATTTGGAATCACATATAAGCACTTAATTGAAGGATTGATTTAATGTCAGTCGTCTTAGAAAATTCAAACTATTGTGAGAACATTCTCAAGAACTTTCCCTATTGTCTAAAGTGCAAAAACCACTCGCTGACTTAGGAAGGCCAAACCAGAGAGACTAAGATAACCTCAAATTTAGCCAACTTAGTGTGGACACAGTCTTTAGTCAGGTCATCTGAGCGTTAAATCCCCCTCTCCTCTCCCCTCTCACCTGCCCTGCGAAAGGCGGTCATGGCCTCCATCACTGCGGCCCGCAGGTCGAACGCTCCGGCCTGCGCTCCGTGCCACATCATGGCAAACTCCCCTGACACGTTGTACACTGCCAGGGGGTGAGTGGGGAACTGAAGAGAGACACATGAAAAATAAGGCTGCTCAATTAATCGAAATTTGATCATGATTACGATTTTGGGGCCAAACGATCTCAAAACTAATAAAATCGGGGGGGAAACGATTTTCTTTTAATTTTCTGTTGTGCAACGTTGTATAGAAAAAAGCTGTGTCCCAATTCAGGGATGCAGCCCCTGAATTGGGACACAGCCACAGTCTGCTTATTTCGCGCATGCGTATTTCCGTCCCTCCCCCACAGCATGCACTGCACATGAGTCAGTCACGTTGTTTTCGTTGGAACAGGTAACGCGTAACAGTTACAGGTAATTTCAAATGTTGTGGCAGTGCACTATAATTTGAGAACACAAATAGTTTTCTATGGCTTATCTTTTGTGTGTTATTTAATTGAACTCTTTGTAGAGATTGCAAGAGTGCACTATGACTGTCAATGTAAAACGGAGACTTACAAATGTTTATGGGGAAAGGAAAGTGTAACTGAGGACTTCCTTGCAAAGTCTTTGACAAATGTCCATAAATGCAGCCTGTTTCTGAAGTTTAAAAAAATAATCGTTTGAATAATCGTGATTTCAATTTTGACCCAAATAATCGTGATTATGATTTTTTCTATAATCGAGCAGCCCTAGTGAGAAATATCTATCACAATGTGGACACTTCCTCCAAAAAGGCACCATGATATTTAAAATGACATTTTGTGAAATACGCTTAACTGATTCCGTTACAGACCTTGTCCTTGACCTCTCTCACGATGTCCAGATACGGCAGACCGGGTTTCACCATCAGCATGTCAGCTCCTTCTTTCACGTCTCGCTCCTGCAGCAGAGAACAGGAGTAAGATCTTCCACAGCTGCTTCAACCTAACACCTGTAACCCCAAACGTCACACATCAACTTACCACAGCTCGAAGGGCGAGTCCTCTGGCTCCAGGAGGCAGCTGATAGCAGCGTCTGTCACCAAACGCAGGTTTGGACTGTGCAGCATCTCTGTATCCAAACACAGCAGGGAGCTTCAGTCTATTCGCACTTCAAAGTGCTGTTTCACTGATCTGTTAACACCTGAACCTGCAGCGCTCAAGTCGAGTTCACACTACGCGGTTTAAGCCCTGATTTTCCATTTGCCAACTGTTTTGCGAGATTGACGGCAGAAAATTATCTTGGAGACTAAACATCTGGTTGTATTTATGCCGAATTGACAAGAAGACTGTGGACATATGAGGCACTTCAGCTTGTGTTTCTAGAGTTACATGTTGGTACAGGAATTAGGAATTGTTGGAATGTAATATTTCTTAAAGGGAGTTTGGCACAGGGAGATTATGTGCTTATGTGTTTATTGTGTTTAGTTTGACTCAAACTGCTAATATTAATATTTTTTTAATGTTTTTTCACCACTACAGAAACGGTTGCTAACTGCTACAGTATGATAGGGTTATCTTACATTGACTGCTGTAGTGCGATTTACTCACCTGAAAGGACCGTAATAACATGAGGCAAACTTTGCACTGTAGCTCAGCACCGAAGCCTGGAGAAAGAGAGTAAAGACAAAATGCTATAAAACGACTTTAAAATACATCTTACGTTTACATTCTGTTTTAGGAAATGATGTAATGATTAAAAAGAAAATGAATATGCATATTACTAGCTGGTTTTCAGGTTGTCAGGAAGTATTGAGAAATGGACTGACACATTGCAAGCTTTTGTAAGACCGTGATCACTTCCTTTAAAGTACGCTTCAGTTAGTCTGCAGATGTCTGCACAGTCCTTTACCTTGTTTCCCAAACCATTGGATATCAGGGCTTGTTTTATGGCTCTGACTCTTCCATCCATCATGTCTGACGGAGCGATGATGTGACAACCTGCAGAACACACGCCCAGTAAGTCATTATAGGATGACTTCTTAAAAAACCCATTAGTTTGATTGGTCTTAAATGAGTCAGATTTAAAATATGTGGTCTAGAAATACAAGAAATCAATCTATAAGATTGCAAAATTATACAATTGTAGAAAGTAACCTTCCTCATTGCTCAACAGTTTTATTTTTGTTAATAAATTACAGCTCTGGCTCTGTGACGTTGTCGGTTAAAGAAACAGTGTGTAGGATTTATAGGCATTTAATGGTGTATTTGTTGATTGCAAATCCCTCGCCTCACGCTCCTGTTCCAAGCATGTAGGAGATAACATAACTATGGTGGCCGCAAAAAAACGTGAATGACCCTATCTAAAGCCAATGTTTGGTTTGACCGTTCTGGGCTACTGTAGAAACATGGCGGTTCAACATGGCGGACTCTATGGAAGGGGACCCGCTCCCTCTGTAGATAAAAACAGCTCATTCTAAGGCAACAAAAACACAGTAATGAAAACATACCTAAGAATGCTATTCTCCATTTCTGTCAATATATCCTCCTAAACACACTGGACCTTTAAAACTACTTTCAAATGTGAACACAAATAAACTAATAATACATTCTTCTTCTTAGAATCTACTTATTTACACAAAAAGCTTGCACTGAAAAGCATTTTTTTCCAGTTTCTTAGCCAAAATAACGTAGATGTAGACATATCAGCCTCTCTATGAACCAACTGAAAATAAGTGATAATAAAGGCTCAATAAATAAAGTAAATAAATTAACAAAATTGGTGCAATCCCAAGTTTAATAGATAATTCAAATCAAAAAGAGAGGCTCGCTGAGGAGAAGGAAGTGTGGTGCTTGTTGTTTTCCACAAAGAGGAACAACCTTTAGAAACATGAAACAAGATTTACCAGCTCGAGCGTAGGCCAGCGCCACTTCTGCCAAGCGCAGGCAGCTGGCGTCATTGTTCAGAGTACCGTCATCGTTCAGGATACCTGAGGGAAAAATAACAGAAAAAAAACATCCAAAATCTTAATATGTGCTGCACATTAATTCTGTCCTTTTAGCACTGCTCTGTACAGAAGGTAAATCATCAGAGGAGACACTGACCACAGTGTCCGTGTGATGTGTAGGGACACAGGCAGACGTCACACGCCACCAGCAGCTCCGGGAACAAAGACCTGATCTTCTTCACTGCCAGTACAGCCGGCGTGTCGTCTGTGTCGGCACCTGAGCCTCTGTCATCCTGACGGGAAAAGACAAAGATCACAGTGTGTCCAGTGCACAGAAACAGGTTTACTGCCATGATTCTACCTGCTGCTATAACAACCTTCTTCACACGCTTCTTTATGACCACTGGTCCACATACGTTTGGTAAATTAGAAAGCTGCACATTTGCCCATTTACCAGAGAAAAAAAAGACACATGGTGTCCAACTGCTGCTACATAAATGAATGATAAGAGAAAGCAAGCAAGGCAAAAAAAAAGATTAATTTTTTCCCCCTTCTTTTAGTTTAATATACCTTTTCTATTTTTGCAGGGACACCAAAAATCAGCACACACTTCAAGCCGTTCTCCACAAGCGGCCGCAACATGCCCTCCAGCTTGTTCACTCCGTATCTGTGGATTGGGAATACAAACAACATGAATGAAACATGAGAACACCAAAAGGTCTTTCAGGGAAGACTCAAAATCGCGATGAAAATGATCCTCCTCATCAAGTTTTAATGAAGGGGGAAAAAAAACTAAAAACTCTCAGGAAAATTATATATTAATACATACTGACACAAAATATCACATTTCAAACAGGGAAGTGTGCAATTTAGACACAAAATGGGTTTGCATTTTGGTTTTTTTGTGTGACGAACAAAGATCTAACGGATTCTCTTCTTATCTTGGTCCAGGTCCAGTGTTTGGCTTTGGGTCCACCCTGCCTGACTGCTTTTATCTGAAGACAACACCCTCAGTGAACTCACAGCTGTAGGGTGACACTGTGTGTGCGTCATAAGAGTCTTTGTTTAAATGCACACTTTAATCCCCCTTAGTCAACATAAGTTTTGTAATTTGCTCAGAAAAGCAGTGCTTTACATTACAGTTATGGTATGAAGATGACAGAATGAATTAGTCTTACCTGGCCTGTCCTGGCAGGCTGCCGATGGGCTCCACTGCATCTGCACTGTCGCTGTAGGAGAGAGTGACAAAGATTGAGTCCATTGAAGCGTAACTTCAAAAAATATCACACTATTCTCCACTTCTCTTGGTGCAAACACATTCAAATGTCATTTGACAGTTGTTGAGCCCTGATCTCTGTAACATCAGTCAAGCTCCTGCACACTTCATTTATTTGCCCTTTCGTGTAATTTTGTGGTACATAGAGAAGTTTCATTTACGTGATAAAGATGGGGTAGATGAGATTGTCAGGTCTTAAATCTGTGACGCAGGTCTGCCAGTATCGCAGTGTCGGGTGGAAATAGCCGCTGTGGAGGATCGATTCCGCTGGTGTCTGCATCTTTACCCTGAGACAGAGAATGTGTCAGTACATTAGTGACAGAACACAGAGAACAACACAGGGAACGGGTCAGGTCCTGTTTTGTCAGAGCCAAAATGCCGTTCTCACACTCTTGTGTCTCATATCAGCTCAGTCACCGTTAAAACTGACCAGGCATGCGTGATGCTGCTCCTACAAACAGCAGCTTGGCTCTGCCTCACTGCAGCGTGAGCAGGATGCAGGTTTTAAAACTCCATTCAATAAAAAGCTTTTATGTTAATGGGTAATGCTTCACCATTGTCTCAACATGCATATGAGCACCCATGACATTTTTTCACAGCTGGACAAAGATTATTTCTTGAATTACAAACACAAGGCTGTGCGATCAGTCATTAACTGACTTTGTTTACTCAGTAAATCAGATTGTGATGGCATTTTATGATTTTCCACATTTGTGTTGCCCAAACTAATGATTGCATTTTGGATCACTTTGTTCTGAACATCAGAATCAAATCAAATTTGAATATTTTTATTATTATTAATATATTGATATATAATCAATATAATCATGAACAATATCCAACAGAAATGTTGTCTTTGTGTTATGTACCAGTTGAGAGTTATCTGCACGAGTCATTTGGCAGGTCACAATTACAACATACAGCCACCGATTACACTGAACAGTGAGAGAAAATACAGGACACATAACACTAAGTGATAAACAGACTCACTTATTATCTGCCATGCTAACATGATCTGATCTGATCTTCCCTGCATTAATATAATCTCTATTCATTTACGACCTCAGATGTGAAGAAAAGTACAGTAAAAGTCAAACTGTAACTTTAAGATAACAACCGGTTTCTGTTACATAGAGGTTTAATTGGACATATCTTGAAAACACATTAGTAATAACCGCTCTAACTGTCTTTCAAAAGGCATATGAGTGTTTTTCTTTCGCATTTTCGCCGGCAGCTATTAACCAGAGCAGGCTAAGTTACAAGATGTCGTTTTGTCACCTTGGCTGCTAAAACACCTTCGTAATAACTCTTTAATGAATGTGGCCAGTTCTAAACACAACCCGCAGCAACTAATGTCATAAAACTGAGAGACTGTAAACCAAAAACATTAATAAAAAGTGCATACATATGAAATAAAGCCAGTGTACTTACCTGTAACGATGAGAGTTTCTGACTCCTGCTCTGCACTCACACGCTCAGTCGATGTGCACTGTCTTCTCATTCAGGACACTTTTTTCTTTGATTGTGTAACCGACGTTTCGCGGGCGACGTGACGGTGCACTACCGCCACCTACTGACTGGAGTGAAGTTTACATTAAGTCGGAACTAACGTATATACGGAAACAGCCTAAAATAAAGTATTTTATTATATTGGTTCTATGTTTTACAGAAAAACACACCGTCGACGATTATTTGAGGTAGGACTGTTGGAAAACACGCGGACAACAACACCGGAAAAGATTTTTCAATTTGCATCTTTTCGGCCACCATACAAGCCTGGTTTGCCCTTCTCGCGATACTTCCCAGAAAGCGAGAGAAAAGAGAAATAGCCGAACCGAAGCTACGATGCTAACCGCTCTTTAGCCTTGTGTACTGACAGTTTCGCATCCAGCTAGATGGAGGAGAAGACGGCAGGCTGTTATTAAGGTAAAGTAAAATATAAAATACATTATGTATGTGTCTATACGCTCGTTGTGTTTATTAAATAGACTGTTTCATCCCTGGCTGCCTGTGGTTAGCTTGCATTGTAATACAAGCATCTCGGCTACAGTCTGTATCATCGTTGTAGTTGTTGCTCGACTTGACCTGTAACGTTACTATTATACTGTGTGTCAGTGTGCCACCATGAGCCGATATCTAAGTGAGGCTAATGTTGGACTGACACCGTGATGAAATGATAGAGACAGATAGAATCACTGCCTATCTCCACTAGCTGTTCCCTAGTCTAGTATCATTTGGGCCCTGGCTACACTTAGTTACATATAGGGTGTGGGTGTATGCCTGGTTGTTTTCTTCTTTGGTTCTTTCAGGTGTGACACTTTATATCAACTCTTGTAATGTTATGTTTCCTTTAGCCACTTCCTGCAGTCACCCCCCCCCCCATCATCCTCCTCAGGGTGGAGTTGAAGATGTAGCCAAGAGTGAAGTGGGTCATCTCTTCAGGCAATATCAGTGACTTCTCACTGCCACCCTCACTCTGGAGCACTCTGACCCCTAACCAGGGCTGCCCAGTGCGTGACTCGGCCGTCCTCTGTCAGTCCGTCCCTGGTTGAAGACCCTGCTGTCCTCAGCTATGCTGTTCTCCCTGAGGGAACTGGTCCAGTGGCTGGGCTTTGCCACCTTTGAACTCTTCCTCCACCTGCTGGCTTTGCTGGTCTTCAGCATGCTGGTTGCTCTGCGAGCCGACATGTTCACCCCCACCCTGAGCTGGTGGCTAGTGTTCGTCCCACTGTTTGCTGCCGACGGCCTCAGCACCTACTTCACTGCCATCGTGTCCATCCGTCTTTACCAAGAGAACGAGAAGCGTCTTGCGGTGCTGCGACTCCTCTGGGTGCTGACGGTGCTCAGCCTGAAGCTGGTGTGCGAGGTTCTGCTGTGCCAGAAGCTGGCGGAGCAGGAGCAAGCCAGAGACCTGTGGTTCGGCCTCATTGTCTCACCGCTGTTCATCCTGCTGCAGCTGCTGATGATACGAGCATGCCGTGTCAACTGAGGAGAGGCAGCCGGTGGTTGTGCTATCACGTTGCCGACAACGCAGGAACAGAGAGCAATCTTCATCTGCCATTAGAGATTTAAAGCATAACGGTGGTGTCCTTTTTCTTTTGGCTCGTTGCCACCTTTTTTTGTACAAAATCAAAAAAGCAATTGAGAGATTTACATGCACATGTTCCAGGTCTCACCAGAATCCAGTTTTTTATCATTTGTGTTCCTAATAGCTTCAAAATGAACATTGCCCGCTTAAGTTGTAATGCAGTATTCGAGAAACTGAGGCAGACAGTCTATTCTGTGTATTGCTAAATTATAAAATATCACTGGATAGCCAAAAGTATGTGGAGACCTCTGTCTATTTGACCCCTTAGTTCCAATGGAGGTAAATCTTAGTGATACTTTAGACAACAGTTTGGGGAAGGTCTTGTTTCAACATGACAATGCCTTCCTGAACAAAGCCAGGTCCATTGGTGTGGAAGAACAAGACCTGCACAGAGCCTTCACCTCGCTCAGCCCCATGCAACACCTTTTGGGATGAACTAAAACACTGACTGTGAGCCAGGTCTGATCAGCATCAGTGTTTGACCTCACCAATGCTCTTGTGGCTGAATGGGAGCAAATCCCTGCAGTCAGGTTCTAAAGAGTGGACGCTGTTACAGCAGCATGGTTTGGGAATTAGAACAATCATACAAGAGAATAATAGGTAGACTACATACTTAATGGCACCTGTTGCTACAGTGATCCTTTAGTTAGATCTGAGGACTGAATGGAAGTAGATTGTAACTAGATAATAAATACCAATGAAGTCCTAATATTCCTTTTCTGAGCCCCCTTTTCATCAGGATGGTTTATGGTTGTACATTTTTGATACTTTTAGGAATACAAAGAGTCAGAGCAGTAAATGTGTGCTTTCGACATGGTGTGCCTTTTTACATTGTGCAATCAGTGGTAGACAATGAGCCACGAGGAAAATTTATACCAGAGTTATGTTTTAATGCACATGTGCACACACAACACGTGTAAATTTAATAAACGGGTGAAACCAAGAGGCTGTAATGCCCTAAGCACCTTTTTTGTGCAACTGTCATGGGTAACGGCGCTTAAGGAGTTGCTTTTCCCCCCAGAGGAAGACATTGCTTGCCAGCACAATTTGGTTAGGTTTATTATCTTCTGTCTCACTTTGTTGCCTGTTGCTGGGAGTGTTGCTCACACAGTTCCCCCTCCCCCACAAGCTGCCTGGCTTGTCAATCCATCAGTGAGAGAACAATCTGAGCAGCAAGAAGCTGGTTCTAAAACTTGCAGTCAGCTCACAGTCTCACCATAATGCAGAGGAACTGAATGTGATCTGTACAAGCAGTCAGTTGTGTGCACACGTCTTCCCTGAACATTGCTGTTTATTTGTACAATATGTAATGTATTTGGTATGTGTTCGATCCTACCTTGTGTATGTACTGCATGTATTTAAGGCCTCATTTTAAGGTAATTCCCGATGTGAAATTCTGTGTATTATGTATATGTTGAAATGCACCAAATTTTATTTATGTTCTTATGTTTTTGTTATGGCACCCTTATTGTCGTGTATATACATGTAAATAAACCATCAACATTTAACCAAAGGCGTCGAATGAATATTTGAGTGGTAGTGGGTTTAAGTAGAGATATCTGCTGTTATTGGGTCTGGCTGTCCCTGGCCACAAGGAGGCACTACTGGCCTCTCATATGGGCGTGGTATAGAACAACATTAAGGACCATGCCTTTATTTATGTTTACGTTTTAGCCCATAAAGAATCCCCTACATCATTTCCAAATAATACATTTTTTATTAATTAATTAATTCTATTTTCTGCTCCTGTTCTACAGTAAATGCAGCACTGTATATCCTATACTTTTGTTTGGCTTCTGTCAGACAGCCAGCATGTAGACAGGATGAAGTCAGTGTTTTTAAAGGTTTTGTCCACGCAATGTTATGAATTAAATCAGTCATATTTTAAAGTATTAGCCCCAACGAAAAATCCGAATCTGCCAAATAAAAAGTAGTGCATGTGAGTGATGAATGAAACCTAATTTTCATCATGTCACCGCTCAAATTCCCAGGAATAGCAGCTACACCAGTTTAATTTCTCTCAGGCCAACAAGGAATATTTTTCTACCATTTCTTTAATGCATTTGATCATTTTCCTCCTTTCTGCTCTTTAGCCTCGCGGTTCTTAATTGTGGTTCGGTGATAAATGTTTAATGAGCTACAGTAATCTGTTGTAGTACCCAAGAATAGCCCTCTTAGTGCTGATTCATGTTCAGCGGGTTACTTCTCAGCCCATGTGTTTACTGCAGGCGGATTATCGACAGGTGGCATCACCGGCAAATGCTGAATGAACAGCCTCCACCCGCCCCTGGATGTTACCTACTTATCACACCCGAACAACAACACCCCAAGGCTACAGGATCCCTGCACTGTAACACTGGTTACATTTACTGGGATACAGGTTTGGAAAGGAAAACTATAGCCTGCTGAAATGTCACAAAAGCGATGAATTTGGGACATTATTGGGAATCCATAGGTCGTAAAGTAAAGAAATAAAAAAGAAGTCACTATTCAGTAGGTTACATTGATTCAACAGAGATAAATTAAGTTTTACTGGGTTTTAGTGATAATATTTAATATGTATAATGTGATAGATGTGTTTGTTCCAAGTCTCACGGTATGCTTATGGTTGTAGTTAAATAAATGAACACCTCTTATAAACATTACATGAAGCATTATGAGTACAACCATTCTATATTTATAAATCATTCATTGATAGCGTTAAATATAGTAAATACAAAAGAGGGAGGGGCGGGTGGAACCTGAACGCAACACTTTTGACTGACAGGCCTTCCTTGCCCAGTCAACAATAGAAACGGGAGGGTTTGCGTCAACGTGCGGCGTTCTACAGAAGGGCTGGGGGCGTGTCCGAACGCCTCAACAACCAATCAAGAGGCGGATGGGACTGCCGAAGCCGCTCGTGGTGCTGCGGAGGGGCGGGGTCGCGTTCACGGGCTGTGTGGAGAGACAGAGCCAGAGAGAGAAAGCAGAGGGAGAGGAGAGAGAAAAAAGAGACGGTGGGGATGTGTGTGAGTGTGCGGTGATCGGTGCTGCAGGTACAGTCGGAGCCGGATACAGGTTTTATAGCCGCACCGGACCGCGGCAGAACCGCCTCGGAGCCTGCCTCTCTCCCCTCTTCATCCCCTCCGAACAACCGTCCCTAATGTCTGGCGGAGGAGAGGTGCACGTCCTCCGCCAAGAGGCCGGACAAGAGAGCCCGAGGATGCCGGCCTGGAAGCGAGAGATACTGGAGAGGAGGAAAGCGAAGGGCGGCGGGTCTGGAGGAGCCGGTGCCGCGGAGACAAGCCCCGGCGGTGCGGGCCCGCAGCGGGTTAACGGCGAGCTGCCGGGAAATGTGAACGGCAGCAGCAGCGGACCCAAGACTGACAGCGGACCGAGCGGCGGGTCCGGGCGGAACTACACCATCACCCCAGCCAGCCAACACTTCGGGAACAACAAAGAGCCACGGCCGACGGCCGCGGAGAGGACGGTGTCGAGGGAGGACGACAGACAAGAGA